GGAGCAACTCTAGTTAATTCTTCTTTTTGTTCTGAGATATCTTTTTTGTTTTTTCTTTTTCTTGAAGAGACTGTGGTAAATCTTTCTTCAAGATTTTTAGTTTGCAGGTATAACTTATTATTGTTTGTAATAAGTACAATTGGAGTTCTTGATGAGTTAGAATCTTTAATTTCCATAGCAGTTTCTGCTTGTATACTCTCAATTGCGATATTCTCTTTGTTGCTGTTATCAAGAGTTTTGACTGATGAGGCTTCTGTGTTTTCTTTTTCTACAACAGAGTTTTCTGAATTCAGATCCTCCTTATTAGAGAAGCTATTTTCTAGGGTTTCATCTGTTTGAGAGGTCTCAGGTTCTGTGTCTTTAACAGAGGAGGTAGAGTTTTGTTGGTTCATTTCTTCATTATCTAATTCAATATAAACAGTTTTACCTTTCTTTTTGCTAACAAAAAATTTTTTATGCTGCTGATGGAGCAGTAAGGCTTCTTTAAACTGAAGGCATTTTTTTTTAATATGTCCTTCTTTGTCACAGAAGTAACAGAGTTTAGGAGCAGAATGCCATTCTGTAGTAACTTTATTATCAAAAATGACCTCGAAGCATGAAATTCTCTCTTCAAGATCTGAGTTATCAGTAGTCTCGAAGGTAACTATCTATTGGTCTGTCAAATAGGGAGTATCTTCAATTAAGAGAGGTTTAATTAAAATGATATTACCTATATCATCAAAAACCTTTTTGATTTCATCAGAAATATCTTCTTTGTTACCCAAAGGTACATTTCTGACTTTAACTAAGAGGAAAGACCTTCTTATATCAGTTGGAATATAGCCATAATAGGTCTTATTGAATATTTTTTTTATTTTTTATTTTTTTTTTACTTTATACAAATGCTATCAGCCAAAACTTTATTGGTTATTTGATAGTAGGTAATAATACATATTGTAAAAATACAACTAGTCACACATACAACTTTAGTTTGTCGATTTAAGTAGTCTACCTGAAGGTTCTACACTAGTTGCGATACCTGAAATCTATTTGAAGATTTCCTATTTAAATCTTCTGGCCCTATAACTTACCTGTTTCTATCTATTTATACTAATTTAGCCTAACTCTGTGCTACTTCTCTAGGAAGACACCCGAGCTGATATATGTTCACAAACTTTATGATTCAAAGCTTAAGCCTATCTCAGGTACTCCTTCACCAACTTCCAAATCGATGAGTACTGTAGTACTCAACTATGCTACGCTATATCCCAATCTAGCTTGTATATATCCTTGTTCAATATTTGTACAAACCTAGTTCCTACTGTGGTCTTCTACCAAGTTAGTCATCCATGCCTCCAGATATCACACGAAATAGATCTTCTCAAATCTGTTACTTGGTGTTGTCTGCTTTGCCACTGGATATCATACGAGACAGATCTTCTCAAATCCAGTTAGCCACCAAGCCAAGTTGGTGTTGCTATATAACTTTGTGTAATGGACTTACTCGCACCTGTTTTATCAATCCTTCTGTACTCAGGACTTACTCATATCTATTTTACCAATCTTTTCGTATACAGATTTTCTTTCTCAGATCAGACGTTAACTGGTATAACTATTGAAATCCGTACTATTTTACCTAACTCAGGATTTCTACCATGCAGGTCCTCTGCTTATAGATCCTATTAAAATTTATTTATATAATGTTACGCCTCATCGAATGCCTCATCACACTTCTAATATCTAATTGGCATTGGTGTAATGTGATTTACAGGGTTACAACCCCAGAAATGAGCAGAGTTTACTGTAAGTTAGATACAAATATCTAGGTAATTATTCAATTCTGTATACAGTGAGATTTGAACCCTAGACCTCTTGCATAGCAGTCTGGCAACCTAACTACTATACTAAGATCATCAGATCTTCATATTAAATATTTCAATTTCTTTTGTAACATAATACTTGAGTTTTTCCTCACTAGCAAATATTAGCTTGAGATGAGTGCGTATACTTCTACTAATATGTGGCTTAGTAGTGATAATATCATGTGCTGCTGTTTCATAGAGAGAAATCATGATTTTGTTCAAAGAGCTATTGAGGTTTTGTATATCTAAAATAAGGGCATTATTATTTTTTGATTTTATACTATTTCATGGAGAGAAAGAGGTAAAGGTTAATTAACCTCTCTTGACTTTTGCAAATAAACTTGATCATAGTCTTTGCAAAGTTTCATTGTTGTTGTTTGTTGTACTTTTTTTAGGTTCTGTTAGAGATGAGTCACGTAAATTTAGACGTGTTGTTTTTGTTGTTGTCTGAGTCTCAGTATTTTGACTTTCATTATGTGCTTTAGAGCTAGATGTGACACTCGTATTGTTTTTGTTTTGTTGTTTTTTTTCTAAACTTTTAGTACTATTTTCTTGAGCGACTTGTTCGTTCTAGCTAGAAGTATTAGCTAAAGAGGTATTTTGTTATACTGAGCTAGTTAATATAGGTTGGTTGCTTGTTGCTTTTATAGTTTCTTTATTAGGATATAAAACTACTTTATCCTCTAGAAGTTGTTCTTTTGATGAAAAACTTCTAATGAGCTTAATTTTTTTATTTGTTAAAACTTCTGTGAAAGAATTTTTGTGCTTGCTTGGAATTAGGGGAAGAGCCCCTGTTCTATTACTGTTTTTGAAGTTAGTGTTGTCTTGTGTAGAGATTATTTTGTCATCTCTAAAAAACCCTCAATCCTAATTTTTGTGGTCAGGAGAGAGAGTGTATCGATCTTTTTTATTACACAAAATTTTACATATTAACTTATAATTAAATAAATATATTTAATATTTGAAGATTTATAGAATATATTTATAAAAA